AACCACATCCCTGCATGAATAATTATTTTAATCTCTAGGATGTAGTCCAAAACCAACCTTGTTTATTTAAATTTTTTTTCTTTTATTGATTTTAGAGAGACAGTAAGGGAGAGGGAGAGAGAGAGAGAGAAACATCAATGAGAGAGAACATCGATTGGCCACGTTCTGCCTGTCCACCATTGGGAATTGGGCCCACAACCTGGGCATGTGCCCTGACTGGGAATTGAACTGGTGACCTCTTGGTGCATGAGTTGACGCTCAATCACTGAGCCACACCAGCCCAGCCCAACCTTGTTTATATTGTGGCTTAAATTGTTTCATTTTTGGCCATTGAAAGCTTTTTCAGGTTGTTTTTTGTATCCTTTGTGGAATGACAAATTCTCCAAGCTCATCTTTATTTTTTGGCCATTACCCCTAACATCAGCTATTTCTTCAGGAAGGCCTGGTACATTTTATAAATATGATATTTAGAAAGTATTATATGATCACTGGGTGTGTTCATAACTACTGGGCTATCACTGCTTTTAGGGCCTCTAAATAGAGCTAGGAAATCTTTTTATGTATACAAACCCAATTCCACACATATAACTACACTTGTTTGTCTATCTGTTTGCATATACATAAAATAATTATGAGCTTATAATGATATAGCTACTCCGATCCAGTATCACAGGGTTTATTCTAGCTTTCCTTCTTGCTTATTTATAATCTCTTTTTTTCTGACAGTGAGTACCCTGATTCCCATTAGCTAAAATGTATTTAATTATTACTTATTTATATACTATATGCTACATATATGTGTTTCCGGAATTGCTAAACTATATTCCTATATGAGAATCAAATTTGTTATTAATTGTACAGTGTTTATGTGTAGTTTTTTGGGTCTTACTGTTTCCTGTCAATATGCTGTTTTTCAACGTTACTCAGATCAGCTTCATTTTCCTTCATGCATTTGTTGTGAAGTTACATTAATTTTTTTTTTTTTTTGTATGTGCCCCTAGCAGGAACTGAACCCGGGACTCTCTGGTCCACAGGCCAATGCTCCAACTGCTGAGCCAAACCGGCCAGGGCCAGTTACATTAATTTTTCACAGTCTACATTCCATTCTGGGATTCCCCAACAATCTAGTTAATTTTTTAAAATATTTGTATCTATTAATGTTAATTTTTTCATGATGTTTAGTTCTTTGGTTTTTGACAAATGCATAAAAAAATGTACCCACTGCCACAGTACCACACAGGACAGTTCTGTCATCTTTTTTTTTTTATCCTCACCCGAGGACATTTTTCCATTTTTTGTTCAGATAGAGCCGGAAGGAGAGAGAGGAAGAGAGAGAGAGAGAGAGAGAGAGAGAGAGAGAGAGAGAGAGAGAGAGACATCGATGTAAAGGGACACATCGAGTGGCTGCCACCCGCACGACCAACCAGGGCCGGGGACAAACTGCAACTGAGGTACGTGCCCTTAGAGGGAACCGAACCCCGGTCTCTCTGTACCGCAGGCCGATGCTCCAACCGCTGAGCCAAACCGGCCAGGGCAACAGTTCTGTCATCTTAAATTTTCCTCATGTTGTCTTTTTTTTTTAATCCTCATCTGAGGATATTTTTCCATTGATTTTTTGATAGAGAGGAAGGGATGAAAGGAGAGAGAGAGAGAGTGAAACATCTCTGTGTGAGAGACACAATGATTGGTTACCTCCTGCACGACCCTGTCTAGGGCTGGGGATTGAACTACAACCTTTGTATGTGCCCTTGACCAGAATCAAACCTGTGACTCTATGGTCTGAATCGAACCTGTGACTCTGTGGTCCGCAGGCCAACACTCTAACTGCTGAGCCAAACCAGACAGTGCCCTCCTGCTGCCTTTGTAGTGAAAATATATTCCTAATCATTGGCAATCACTGATCTGTTTTCTGTTCCTATAATTTTGCCTTTTCTAGAATGTCATAAATGGAATAATGTAATACATAGATTTTATGTCTGGCTTCTACTTTGAAAAATGCATTTAACATTTATCCATATTGTTGCATAAATCAATAGTTCATTTCATTTTATTGCTGAGTAGAGAATTCCACTGTTTGGGTATACCGTATTTTTATTTCATTTTATTTTATTTTACTTTTTCACCTGTTAAGGGAAATCTTGGTTATTTTCACTTTGGGGCTGTAATAAAGAAGCTATGAAAATTTGGGTACAGGGTTTTGTGTGGATATAAATTCAATTCACTTGAGTAAATGCCGAGGAATGAAACTTCAGGTTGTGTGATGGAGGTTTGTTTACCTCTGTAAGAGACTCTCAAACTGATTTCCAAAGTGGCTGAATAGACATTTCTCCAAAGATGGCCAACAGATATATGGAAAGATGCTCAATGTTAATAATCATCAGAGAAATGCAAATTGAAAACACAGTGAGATATCACCTCACACTTGTCAGAATGGTATCATAAATAAATCAACAAACAATAAGTGTTGGCGAGGATGTGGAAAAAAGGGAATCCTGTGCACTCTTGGTAGGAATGCAGATTGGTGCAACCACAGTGGAAAGCAGTATGGAGTTACCTCAAAAAATAAAAAATGGAGCCTCTTTATGACCCAGCAATTCCACTTCTGGGAATTTATCCGAAGACACCTGAAACACTAATTCGAAAAAATATACGCACCTCTGTGTTCATTGTAACATTATTTACAATAGCCAAGGTCTGGAAGCAGCCCAAGTGCTCATAGCAAGATGAGTGGATAAAAAAGTTGTGGTACACTTACACAATGGAATACTGCTCTGCCGTAACAAGGAAGAACACGTTACCCTGTGTGACAGCATAGATGGACCTGGAGAACATTATGCTGAGTGAAATAAGCCAGTCGGAGAAAGACAAGTATCATATGATTTCACTGATATGTGGAATTTAATGAACAAACTGAACTACCAGCAGAATAGAGACAGACTCATAGAGGGCAGCAGACAGCTCTGGTGAGGGGTGGGGGATGGAGGGATTGAGCAAAAAAGAGAGAACTCACTGACACGAACAACAGTATGGTGATTGCGGGGGAGAAGGGGTGGGCATAGAGGGGATAAATGGTGATGAAAACAATAAGATAAAATAAATTAAAACAAACAAAAAACAAAGTGGCTGTGTCAGCTGGCATTTCCACCAATAATGAACAAGAATTCTTGTTGCTCCATACAAGCATTTTATATACTGACTTTAAACAGGTCAACATTTCTTTTATTTTAAACTGTGTGTAGTCTCAAAATGATACTGCAACTTAGCTAATATAATATTTTTAAGTAATGTTTTATTGCATGGTATGATACATAGCAAGATAAATTATTATCTACAAAGCTAAGAAAAAGGTAACTTTAATCATATTTTTGTGTTTATTTATAGTTTTACCCAGTTTCTTTCAAGTGGGTGCCTCCCTTTATAAACTGATGATCCATAAGAAAAATGTCTTTTTAAAATTTTGGAATCAAATATTTCTAAACCTTAAAATAATAACAGCTCTACAAAAAATTTAAAATTTAGAAAATTTTCTAAAAAATTTAGAAACTATTTTTGGAAGATGAGATTATTCAGTAAATCTACTTGTTTATATCCATATAAGAAATAAGAAAAACATTGAAATTTTAAATTGATTATCTATTATATGATAATAAAGTTATAGGAATCTTCCCTTATCTGTTGGGGATATGGCCCAAGACACCCAGTGGATGCTTGTAACTGCAGATAGTAGAGAACCCCACGTACACTATGTTTTCTCGCTATATGGACATATGATAACATTTAATTTATAAATTAGGCACAGTAAGAGATTAACAACTAATAATAAAATAGAACAATTATAACAGTATACTGTAATAAACGTTATGTGTATGTGGTCTCAATCTCTTTTTCTAAATATTTTACTATACTGTACCTTTTTTTTTAAGAGTGAAAAAGTGTATATATTTATAAATGCCAAATAAATACCAGAGGCCCCACACCACCTCCTCCCAGACAGGGCTATTTCCCCCAACCCTAGGCTTCTAAGGTCTGAGACATCTCGGCCCCAAGCTACAGCCCAAGAGCAGCTGCCAGTCTGGGCTACCAGGGAACTGGGTGGGGATGATCTGTCCAGCCTACTCACTCCCCCTGTGTGAGGGGCCCCTATACCCATAGGCTTGTGTCCCTGTACAGCGCTCTAGGGGTGGCCAAACTCAGGGAGAGAAGGTGGTCATCTCCAGTGAAGCCCGCTGCCATAGCTCCTTGGTCTGTCTGCTGCGCTTGAGGCTCTGCAGGGTGTCGTTGAACTGCATTGTGCCCATGGGTGTCAGGCAGAAGGTGCTGCGGGCACCGCGGATCACTTTCACAAAGTCGTGGTCGGCGGGGGTCAGGTGAATCAAGTGGTGGTGCATGTACGGCGTGTATGCCAGCTGGCCACCCTGCACCTGTTGGTGGGAGGCTGGGCACGCAGATGGTTGAGAAAATAATTTTCTGAATGTTCAAACCTTCGAGTTTTACTGACACACTGACAAAAGGTACACTCTAGGACATATGCTACACTCTGAGGGGCCTGACTGCAAAGTTTAGTGAAGTAAAGACATGAACCCTTGAGAGAGCTTTGCTTTCACCAGTCTCCAAAAAAATGATAGCACAAGAGGAAAACAGCTCATCAGTTTGGTTACTTATTTTAAATCCTGATTATGAGTTTATTTTATCTGATAACTAGTTCCAATCCTCACATGATTAAGGTGTTTTCATGGCTATCAGAACAGGACTTGGGCAGGGGACTCCCTGTAGACACCTCCTTTCACAGCCCCTCAAATCTTAATTTAATCCAGATAATTAGCATCTTTAGGTACAAGCTCTTCTTAGACGGCCATTTTCTCAGCTTGCAGCTTTGAGAAAAGCATCATTAGAATTATCTACCTTCTTATAACCTAAGAAGAAGATTTGGAACCAAGATGTTTTAGGAGCAGTTCATGCTGAAAAGCCTGATAATTTACTTCTTGTGCAGTTTGGACATTCTAGTCAGCCTGGCCAGATGAGTCAGAAGGAGGAGGCTGTTGAGGCATTGCTGGGATCACACTGGAAGTACTTGACAGGCGTTCCTGCTGCAAGGACTCCTTTTCAAGGGGTTTTGTGTTCTGCAGGAATATGGTCTTCTTTGCAGGACCAGCGACACATACCAGTGGCTCTTCTTTGGCTTTAGTGATTTTCCTGTAATGATAAAGCCAGTGAGTCAGGTACTCTATGGGGTCACTGGGCCGAATCTTCACCACCTCTGCCAGTGCCTGGGAAAGGCAGTTTCCAAAGCACCTCTTCAGATAGTCAGTTTCCATCCTGTGGGCCACCCGCGCTTTCTTTCCTCTGTGCTCAGCTTTTTACTTAAAGGAAGCACTTTGTGGCCTCTCATGGGCATATTTGGATTGCCAGCATCACTACCCATGTGCTTCGGGGTCACTGTTCAGTACACTAGGAGTTACTCCAACACAAGCATTTCGATACCACACAGCCAGTCTGATCATTGAGATGGCTACTAAGTGACTGGCAGGGAGAATGTCCAGTGTAGGTTCGCTGGACAAAGGGACAATTCATAGGATGGAGCAGGAAAGCATGAGATTCTGTCACCTGAGAACGGTGTGCAATTGAAAACATATGAATTGTTTATATCTGGAATTTTCTATTTAATATTCTTGGACTGTACTTGACCATAGGTAACTGAAATCATGGAAAATGAAGCCACGAATAAGGGAGAATTACTATATAGAGATTATAGTACACAAAACCAAAGGACCAAGTTAAGCACATAGTAGCAATACTGAGAAGAAAATGAGTTAATCTCCGAACATGCATACTTTTATACCCTAAACATATACTTTAGAAAAATTCTAAGACATAACAGAATGCGCAAGCAGACTATTAGCCTGGTGATATCATCACACAGCATGTGAATTCTGGAAAATGTTACCATAATGAAAGAATGGAAGTAAAAATGGCAACTTGCACTTTAGTTTATTACAAAAATAGTCATAACAAAATAAACTGATGAGCAAAATAGAAATAGAGGCATGGACACATGGAACAGGTTGACAACAGTCATAGGAGATGCAGGTAGGGGGAGGCTGGATGAACGAAGGTGAAGAGATTAGCCAAAGAATATATGTACATATACATAGACACAGACAACAGTGTGGTGATGACCAGAGGGAAGAAGGGGCTGGGTAGAGGTGGTCAAAGGAGGGAAAAATGGTGACATCTATAATAGTGTGAACAATAAAAATAAAGTTAAAAAAAAGAAAATAATTGTGTACCTATTGTTACATGTTGAAAACTGCTGTGTTAAGCTGTGACCAGGCGTTGAAAGCTTGGATTGAAGGAAAAACATAGGAAAGCATAACTAAAGGTTCAGATACTTAGGTGTCTTAGTAATGGAACTTATAGCAACGTAAAAACATCTTAGTCTTTATTAAAATAATAGCGAGACAAAGGCAAAGCCACTTTATATATCTTTACTATTTTTTTTTGCAAATATATTCCATGAACATTTTGATAAACATTTATTATCAAAATTTGGTGATACAATAGACTCTTGCCATCAATGAGCAAGGAGGCTATTTAATCTATCATCTAAACAGAGCCTATCAGGAGTGAAAGAAGTGCTACTAAGCATTATGCTGAGAGGGAAACTAGGATGTAAGATCATCTTGTATCTTTGAAACGTGTTCTGGGAGCTTGGTAGATTTCTAAATTTGTGGACATTGTAGTAGCTTATATACTTCTCACCTAAGACTCAGTAGAACTTAAATTCCTGGGAGTTACTGAAGTTCTTGTAATAAATAGCAATGGTTCAGCAATTGCACATTTGAATGCTGAAATTTTGGTTGCCTTACTTGGTAACTAAGTAAGTTACTTCTGTACATCAGTTTTGACATAATTAAATCTATTTTATACACAATGGAATTTAAAAGCATTATCTAGTTCTAAATTATATGTGTTTACTATTAGTGTATTATACTAACTCTACATAGCTTTCACAACTATTCCTATCATGCAAAATAGGCACATGCCCTTATGAAAACAAAACTCAAGTCTAAGAATGACTCCTTAGCCCAAAACTTACCATTACTGATACTATTACGTTGTTTCTCTTATTTTGGTTATATATACATGTGTTGTATTGAACACAAATATGTTGAAAGTCTTATATTATGAAGAAAAATATTTAAGACTGTATCTTTACAGAGATATTTGTTGACAGAGATGTCCAGTTGAAAAAGATTTACTACTATTTATCTCTTTTTTTCTACTAGCGGCTAAAGACTAATGCAATTATCTTGAACACAAACAACAGAAGAAAATATTTATAAAAAATTGAGTATAAGAGATTGGTTTAGAAAAATCCTTGGAAGGTAGATGTTCTTTTCATAGTACTTTCATTTGGGTTTTGGAATGCTGAGTGATTGTTATGTGTGGTGTTTGTTGCTTCTAAGACAGAAGGAATCCTCACCAGACATGCAGAAGATTGACAAACGACATAAATAAATGGTCTCAAAGCTGCCACTGTCTTGTTCTGGGCAGTTTTGAGCCGTCTAACTCACTCGTCCTTCAGTTGATAAAGAATGGAATACAGGGATAATTGAACAATCCCACAAAGCCATTGAAATGTGTAATTTAATATAAATGGTTGCAAAGCAGTAGTTTCTGGTTTACAGCTCTCCATGGGCCTGGTTAACCAATCTCTAGGTTGCACAGGCTCTTTACTTTGTCTTCTTTCTTATGCTGCATATCTTTTCAGACATTTCTTCCTGAAATAGTACTTTAAATGGAGAAAGAGAAAACTGGTTACTTTCTCATTGCTTTTGTTTTATTCAATACACTCAATATCCACATTTACTGAAAAAAAAATTTAAGTATTAAAAAAAAAAACAAAGTCTTTTCTTTCCATACTCATGAGAGACTGTTTTCTAGTCACGTTCCTCCAAAGCTCCACTCCGGGTCTCTCATCTGCCTTGCACTTGTTTGGCTTTGGATCAGGGATTCATGAGCAAGAGGCTGGATAAGTGATGATTTAGTAGATCTAAATTCTTTCATAGACTATTATATTTAAAGCATTTATAAAGAAGCTCTAACTTATTTAACTTTCTTTTTTTTTTTTTTTAGCTTTCACTCTTTTTTATTAAATGTAATGGGGTGACATTGGTTAATAAGGTTATGTAGGTTTCAAGTATACGTTTCTATGATCCATGATCTGTATATTGCATTGTGTGCCCACCACCCAAAGTCAAATCATCTTCTGTCACCATATATTTGGTTCCCTTCACCCTTTACTACCCTCCCCTATCCCTTTTCCACTGGTCACCACCATATTGTTGTCTGTGTCTTTGAGTTTCAGTTTTAAAAGTTACCATATGACCCAACAACCCTTCTTTTGGGTACTTACGCAAAAATGTTGAAAACATTTATTCACAAAGATATATATATATATCTATATATATATACACATACCCCTATGTTCACTGAAGCATTTTTCAAAGTGGCCAAGACATGGAAACAATCAAAGTGTCCTTCAATAGATGATTGGACAGCTTTTTAAAATTTTAATTGTAAAATGTAATTAACTGTGATAGATGATTATTTCAATATGCATGGCCCTTAAAAAACTTTTCCGTAAAGTTCCATTAAATGAGTCCAAAGTCTCTATAGCTTGATTGAATCTTTGAAGCTTTCATCTTTCTTTTATTTATTCCTATTCCATTTGTTTTTTCTTATGTTTTTCTCTAACCTCGTGAAGCTGCTTCTTTTGGGAGACATTACCTTGACAACGAGGAAAAGTAGCATAGTGGCTAGTACCTCTGGATACGCTGGACTTCCCAGGTCCAAATAAGGATAATTATTGGACCGTCCTCATAAGAAAGTTATGAACTGTAAGTAAGTTAACCCATGGAAGAAGAGTTACACATTGAAACAGATAAATGGAATGAAATACAAATGGACTTTGCATTGTGCTAATATCATCCAGATTCTAGAGGAGTCATACATCTGGGAAGGGGATTGTGGGTTCTGCAACATCTTCCCCGAAGAATAGTATTCCAGCTAACCTTGAGCTCCGGCTGGATAATGGAAAGAATGATCTCACTGTCAGGACCTCCAAGAGGCAGAACAGGCAGCATCCTGGCAAGTGGAGTCTGTGCTTCTGTTCCTGGAGTCATTCCTGGAGGCTTGCCCAGAGCCTATTTGTCAAGGTGTTAAAATGATCGCAAAAACATTTTTTTTTTTAATCCTCATGAGAAGACATGCTTAGAGAGAGGAAGAAAGGAAGTGGGGGAGGGAGAGAGAGAAAGAGAAAAACAGAAACATTCATTGGTTGCCTTCCATACGTGGCCTGACCTGGGATCAAACCCACAACCCAGGTATGTACTCTGACTGGGAATTGAACCAGCAAACTTTTGGTGCAACTGACTGAACCATCCGGCCTGGTGCAATTGAATGCTTTTTTATTATATTAGGTGGAGTAGTTTTTTATCTTTGTAGTGGAACCCTGACCAATATAGTGGGTTACATTCTCTTTTTTCCACATGAATTAAAAAATATTAATTTTATTATTGAAATTATTGAGTGACATTGGTTAATGAAATTATATAGGTTTCAGGTGTACAGGTCTATAATACATCATCTGTATATTGTACTGTGTGTTCACCACCCCAAGTCAAGTCTCCTTCTGCCACCATTTATCTCCCCTTTACCCTCTTCTACCTCCCCCCAACCCTCTTTCCCTCTGGTAATCACCATATTGTCATCTGTCCACATGACTTTTTAAGAAATCATACTCCTGATAACTGCCTGCCCCTAATCTTGGGCAGCTGTCTACATCTAATGCACAGGTAAGATAGACATCACACCTGTACTTCTTAATGTCAAGTCCTTTTCTGGATCATATTTTTGAAGTGTATTTTAAACATACATTTCTATCTATTTGTACATTTCAAAGAATCAACCTTAATGATCTCCAACTTGCTTAAAAGTAAAACATAGACACTAATACCTATTATATAGAGTTGTGAAGAGACAAAATAATAGCTTTTGTAAAATGATTTGAAAAATATAAAGCACTATGTAAATAAAAGATGCTAAAACTTATTGTTCTATAATCAAAATCTTAAGGATTTTTTTTTTTGTAGTTATGTTTTATTTTTGTAACACAAAAAGGGAGAGAGGAGGCAAAGGAGCAGGGCCCAACCATGTCCCCGCAACAGCTTCTGAGGCACAAGTCTGTGTGAATTTGTTTTGAAAAGACCATTTTAGGTCTGTTTTAGTAAAATTCCATGGACAGTCCATCTCA